CAAACTGTATTCTTCTTACTTTGGATTTCTTTTTTCCATTGATACATTGATTTATCCTGTACTAATTATATGAGAATATTATGTATTATACAGTATTTGTGACTTTTTTTAAAAAGCAACAGACCTCTTTTTTTCAAATAAAATTTTAGGGGCTGGACATGGTGGCTCATGCCAGTAATCCCAATACTTTGGGAGGTCGAGATACGTGGATCTCTTGAGCCCAGGAGTTTCAGACCAGCCTGGGCAACATGGCAAGACCCTGCCTCTACCAAAAAAAAAAAAAAAAATCATAGCAAGATTGTTTATACACAGAACACCAAAGCGGAAATGCTCTGGTGTTAATGCAGAGGTGTCAAGCGAAGGGTAGCAAGCTGTCAGCTTCCCCTTGGCAGAATGGCCATAGGGTACTTTTGTGGGGCAACAAAATGACTTTTGTTTTTCTCTTCACAATAACTTGTTTCCTCAACTAAAAGGCTCTCTCTCTGTAAGGTATCATTAGTTTTACCTTCCCTATTAGATTAAAGGTCTCTTGTGCCATCTGTCTCAGACTGCTTTGTACACAGCAGGTACTGAATAATTGTTGGTTAATCACTTAATATAGTCACACAATAGTGAATCACTATACAAATTCCTGAAAGATTTCAACCCCTCTTCTTGCTAATGGTTTTTATGGAGGCTAATTTTTTAATATAACCAAATCAATCCTGGGAAAAGTTTAGAGGGTTCTTTCTTTTTTCTATTTTTTTTTCCTTTTTTTTGAGATGAAGTTTCACTCTTGTTACCCAGGCTGGAGTGCAATGGCACGATCTTGGCTCACTGCAACCTCTGCCTCCTGGGTTCAAGCAATTCTCCTGCCTCAGCCTCCCGAGTAGCTGGGACTACAGGCCAGCGCCACCATGCCCAGCTAATTTTTCTATTTTTAGTAGAGACGGGGTTTCACCTTGTGGACCAGGATGGTCTCAATCTCTTGACCTCATGATCCACCCGCCTCCCAAGTGCTGGGATTTTAGGCGTGTCTTTTTTCTATTTTATTAAAGAATGGCGTTAGGCCAGGCGTGGTAGTGCACACCTGTAGTCCCAGCTACTTGGGAGGCTGAGAGGCAGGAGGAGCGCTTGAACCCAGAAGGCAGAGGTTGCAGTGAGCTGAAATTGTGCCACTGTACTCCAGCCTGTGCGATAGAGTGGTAGTCTATCTCAAAAAAAAAAAAAAAAGAAAGGAAAAAAAAGAATAGTGCTATGATATGTCAACTCTAAAAATGATGTTTTTAATGAAGGTGAAGTCCTGGAAAAAAATGTTTTGGAACAAAAAAAAAAATCAAAGAACAAGAATTTCAATGCTGATTTAGTATTAGACCATTCTTTGGTTGTTTGAAACAATGATTGGTATAAAGAAAGTTAGGGTAGCTTATTCTGCTTTTGTAAAGGAAACTGAAGAATTAGAATATCTCTAAGTTGACTGAAATGGAGGAAGCAGCCAGGAAAATGAGACAAAATCCCTTATTATAATGGATTCCCTTCATAGCTTTATAAGCGGTGGCATTCAAAAGAGATTATAGTTACTCAAGAACTTTAACAGAAGTGTTGCTAAAGAGTTATTTGGAAGGACTTAAATTTCAGATTTTTTTTTTTTTTGAGATGGAGTTTCGCTCTTGTTAACCAGACTGGAGTGCAATGGCACGATCTCGGCTCACCGCAACCTTGCCTTCTGAGTTCAAGCAATTCTCCTGCCTCAGCCTCCCGAGTAGCTGGGAATACAGGCGTACACCACCATGCCCAGCTAATTTTTGTATTTTTAGTAGAGACGGGGTTTCACCTTGTTGACCAGGATGGTCTTGATCTCTTGACCTTGTGATCCACCCGCCTCGGCCTCCCAAAGTGCTGGGATTATAGGCGTGAGCCACCGCGCCCGGCCAAATTTCAGATGTTTTTAAATTTTATTTATTTATTTATTTTTAAAAGAGACGGGGTTTCATCATGTTGGTCAGGCTGGTCTCGAACACCTGATCTTGTGATCCACCCGCCTCGGCTTCCCAAAGTACTGGGATTACAGGCGTGAGCCACTGCACCTGGCCCTGAGATGATTTTTTTGAAATAGTGATTTCTAAGATTTTTGGACTATACATTGTTATCACAGTATTAATGCTGTGGCATTGGTTTTCACAAAAGTCATTTGGTAAGAAATGCACAAAAAGTGCATGTGTACTATCAAATGTAGGGATAAATGTTGATGTATTCATTCCATCATTCATTCATTCATCGTATATTTATGAAGTGACTACTAGATGCCAAGCACTGTGAAGGACACAGGTATGGTCCCTACTCTCATGGAAGTCATAGTAAGTTTAGAGCAGTGGTTGGCCAAGCAACAGCAGCATCACCAGGAAACTTGTCAGGAAAACAAATTCTGAAGCTCCATCTTTAAAGGTGGGTCCCAGCAATCTGCGTGGTAAAAAGCCCTTCGGGTGATTTTGACTCACAGTAAACTTTGAGAACTACTAGTTTAGAGGGAGGAACATTTCACTGTGGGCTGAAGTTTCAGTGAGGAGGGGAGATTTGAACAGAAGCCTTAAACTGAGAGGTTAAGAAGGTGAGAAAGGAGAGGACTTGCTAGCTGTGAGAGACTCCCCACCCTCCTTAAATCATGTACAACATCCTAGTAATGTTTCCTTCTCAACATCTCCTTGCTATTGCCTTCAGAACCTCATCACGTTTCACCTGTTCTTAGCTTCTTCCCTGGGTCCGTTTCCACATCCTTCCAACCCACCCTGTTCTTTTGTGCAAGTGATCTTTCTAAAGCACCCATTTGATCGTGTTGGTCTCCTGGTAAAAAGTTTTCTATGGCTCCCTCTACCCACATTCTAAGTTAAGAACCAGTTAAGTTAAGAACTTAAATTTTTAAGTGACTTTGTTCAAGACAAAAAGGAGTAATAGAGGTGAAGGGAATGAGAGAGTTTACCATGTCCTTTCTAGAGGAGTTTAGATTCAATAAAATAATGTTGGTTCACACCTGTAATCCCAGTACTTTGGGAGGCCGAGGCAGGCGGATCATGAGGTCAGGAGATCGAGACCATCCTGGCAAACATGGTACAAACCCGTTTCTACTAAAAATACAAAAATTAGCTGGGCATGGTGGCACACGCCTGTAGTCCCAGCTACTCGGGAGGCTGAGGCAGGAGAATCGCTTGAACCCAGGAGGTAGAGGTTGCAGTGAGCTGAGATCGCACCACTGCACTCTAACCTGGCAACAGGGAGAGACTTCTGTCTCAAAAAAAAACAAAAAAAGAATGTTGCACTCCAAATTATACCCTGGAGGCCAGCATATGCTCTCTGAACTACAGGATTAAATCCAAAGTCCTCAGTATGACACCCCAGGCTTTTGTGATCCGGCCCCTGCCTTGCTTTCATGCTTTTAGTGTTGCTTTGTCCCACACCTCAAATATGATGTTGGCCACATACTTAGCAGTTTTGGATGATACCATGGCACTTCATTTCTCCAGGCCTTTGTTCTACTCCTCCTGCCAGGATGCCCTTTCCCACCGAATTTACTAGACAAACATTCATTTCCAAGATGCAGTTCAAGGATCATTTCTCTGAAGCTTTTCCTGACTTCACTAGGTAGCACAGACCTCATTGTCCCTTTTGTGTTATAATAATTGTATTACAGCACCTGTTTCAATAGTTTGCACTTGTTTCTATGGCTGTCTCCCTTTACTAGACCATGAACTTCTTGAAAGCAAGAGTGACACCTCTCCTTATTTTTGCATTCAAGTGTCAAGCATAGAGAGGAAGAAAATGAATGGTTGTTGAAAATAGCAAAAGTACAGAGATGAGAAAAGTTAGGGTCAATGAAGACATAGTGTAGTGAGAAAATCAGTTTACTGGGTGGAAAGCACATTTAACAGAGAATGGGAGCCATAACTGGAAAGATAGTTTTGAATCGGATTACAAAAAATTTAGGGCAAACCTAAGAAGTCTTAACAGAAGGGTAGGATAAGCAGAGCCCATTTGAAGATTTTGGTGGAGGAAACCACGATGGTATTATAGCAGGAAACATGGTACCAAATATATAAAGCTATAAAATATCAAAAATTTCCCACCCTTTTCTAGAGCAAAGAAAAGGTGGTAAGAGGTAGGTATAAAAACGATGGTCTTTTTACTTTTAGTCTTTTTACTTTTCTGCAAGATTTAATTTGTCCCTTCATATCCAAGATGATTTTGTGATGTTACAAAAGAAAAACAAAAAAGCACATTAAAATTATATGTTCTCCAGGCACAGTGGCTCACAGTTGTAACTCCAGCACTTTGGGAGGCTGTGTCTCAAATCTGGTGATAACTTTTTTTTTTTAATTGGAAGCAAGTTTATTAGGAAAGTAATGGCTACTCCATAGGCAGAACAGCCTGGTGACAACTTTTAAGAAGTAAAAACTTTATTACAAAAACATCTGTTTATTGTAGAAAAGGTATTAAATAAAGCTAAGCAAAAATGAGGGAGATCACAATCATTACACATCTTGCAGACCTTTAAATAATTATTTTTGAAAAAACAAATATATACTGTTTTGTAACTATGTCTCCCAACAAACAGTCGCAACATCTCATTAATATTCACCTGTAGAGTTATTTTAAACGGCTGCATGGCATTTGGAGATACACAACCAATTTCCTGATGTTGGCCATTTTGGTTAGTTCTACTTTACTCACAATTACTAATAATTTTGCGAGCTACAGCAATAACTTCGAGACTGCAGTACTTTCCTTTCTTAGATTTTCAGTAGGATACGATGGGGTTCCTTCTCTGACAACATGGGAATATTTGGGCATTATCACTATCAAAGAAAAATGCCTTTTTGATGGGTCAAAATGCTATTTCATCGCGTTATGTGCAGGTCCTTGATTATCGGCGAGTCACTGAAGTTCCGAGAGAGGTGTCTCAGGAGGCAAACAGCTACCCCGTCGCCTCCCACGGTCTGACCTCCGCCAAGGTGACGCGGCTCAAAGTCAACCGGCGGAAAGGGAGTCGAACGTGACCCGTGCGTGGGAGCGCGCATGAGCGTACGTGCGTGCGCGCGTGCGCGTGTGCTCCGGAGCGTCATCGCCTAGGACGGTGGCGGCGTGTACTGCGCGATCCCTGTTACAGGTATCGCTCGCTACCTTCCTCCTTCGCCCCTCCTTTCTTCCTTTAAAGTCACATCAAGTCGGGGTTGAATTTCGAGAGGGGAGTCCAAGGACCTGGGGCCTGATTTCTTTTTCTCTCTCCATGCTGCTTCGGGTGTGTACGTGTGTGGCTGTGGCTGAGCGGCGGCAAGGGAATAGCTACACCGTTCTAGTCCCGCCCTTGGCCTTCGTAGTACCCTTGAAATGATCAGTCAGTCCTAACCACTCCTTCCACAGATGATTCAATTGGAGAAGTTTAGAGGAGTGGAAAGACTTGTCCCCTTCCCCTAGTCGCAAGCTTGGTCACAGAGTCGATTGCCAAATCATGTATCCAGACGCTCAGTCTAGGGCTCTTAGCCCTGGGTGGCCTTTTGAAAAGGTTGGTTATCCTTAAGTATTGAAGATTGATAAAGCCCGCTTACCTACGTAAAAGAATATGTGTTTTCTGTGCCACTGACACCAGAAATACTATTTAGAAGTTATCCTGAGAAAGGATGCTTCCTGCAGCTCATATCAGGCTAGAGGTGCCTTTATATTTTTCATTGAATTACTCTGTTTTGGCGAATTGAATGAATCATCACTTCATTTCTTTGTCTTCAAATGTCAGAGGGCACTTAAAATCTAAAAGGAGATAAGTTTAAACAGGTGGTTTGATGATAAAGTATAAATTAAAACTATGGAACATCTTCCCTGTGCTCATTAGCAGCTCATATCAAGCACCCAAAGGAACATCTTGGATGTTTTTCCTTAGGCCCTTAAGCTATTTAAAAGAATACCTCCTAGGTGTGCTGTGGTCTGTTACAGGAATGTGTTTCTGATCATCTGAATCTTAATCATGTCCAACTGCCTGCAAAACTTCCTGAAAATTACAAGCACTCATCTTCTGTCTTCAAGATTATGCCAGCAGTTAACAAGAAGTAAAAGGAAGTTTTTCGTAACTGTGCCAATATCCAGATTGCATAGGCGAGTTGTCATTACAGGCATTGGCTTAGTGACTCCTCTTGGTGTTGGAACTCACCTGGTTTGGGATCGTCTTATGCGAGGAGAGAGTGGAATTGTTTCACTGGTTGGTGAAGAGTATAAGAGTCTCCCTTGCAGTGTTGCTGCTTATGTGCCAAGAGGTTGTGATGAAGGTCAGTTCAATGAACAAAACTTTGTGTCCAAATCAGATATCAAGTCCATGTCTTCTCCCACCATCATGGCTATGGGGGCTGCAGAATTAGCCATGAAGGATTCCGGCTGGCATCCTCAGTCAGAAGCTGATCAAGCGGCTACTGGTGTTGCAATTGGCATGGGAATGATTCCTCTTGAAGTTGTTTCTGAAACTGCTTTGAATTTTCAGACAAAAGGTTACAATAAAGTTAGCCCATTTTTTGTCCCTAAGATTCTGGTCAACATGGCAGCAGGCCAGGTTAGCATTCGATATAAACTCAAGGGCCCCAATCATGCAGTGTCCACAGCCTGTACCACAGGAGCTCATGCTGTGGGGGACTCTTTCAGATTTGTAGCCCGTGGTGATGCTGATGTGATGGTGGCTGGAGGTACAGATTCTTGTATTAGCCCTTTATCTCTTGCTGGGTTTTCCAGAGCCCGGGCTCTGAGCACAAACTCAGATCCCAAGTTGGCATGTCGACCATTTCATCCAAAGAGAGATGGTTTTGTAATGGGAGAAGGCGCAGCTGTGCTGGTACTGGAAGAATATGAACATGCTATTCAAAGAAGAGCCCGGATCTATGCAGAAGTTTTGGGCTATGGACTCTCAGGTGATGCTGGTCACATAACTGCCCCTGATCCTGAAGGAGAAGGTGCCTTAAGGTAAAGATGGGTTATTTCCTTCAAAATGAAAATATTTCTTCAAATAAGACACTTTATTGGAGTCCCAGATTAGGGAAAATTCTAGTATCTCACTTTGAATACAGTATCTCTATTGTTTTTCCCTTTTAGACTAAAGAAGATTTTTAAATTCTTTGCTTAAGACATTTGAAGTATTTCAGAGCATTTGAATATCCTTGCAAAAATTGCATTTGAGTTGAACCTAATAGAGTTGCAAAAAAGACCAAGAATGTCTTTGCCAATTTGTCATGCCTCCATTTGTACTTAAGCATCAGTGTGCTCCCTCACAAAGTCCTCCTCTTTGACCCTTCATCAGACTTGGAAAATAAAGTCAACCCTTCGAGTTGTTCATGGTCTTTGCCCCATTTCAACAGACTTCTGTTCTTTTCAAGTCAGCACTTCTCAAACTGTAATCACCTAGGGATATTATTTAAAATGCCAATTCTGATTCTGTAGGTCTAGGGTTGTGATTGAGATTCTGTTTTGTTTTGCTGTTTTAGAGACAAAGTCTCGCTGTATTGCCCATGCTGGTCTTATTGGAGTCTGTAACACCTGGGTTCAAGCAGTCCTCTCACCTCAGCCTCCTGAGTAGCTGGGACTACAGGAATGCACCACTGAGACCAGTTTATTTTTTAATTTTTTGTAGAGATGGGGGTCTTGTTTTATTTCCCAGCTGGAAGATTCTGTAGTTCTAACATGCTCCCAGGTGATGGTGATCTTGCTGGTTTAAGAACTATATTGAAGTTAACTGTTATAGATTAGTACACGTAAAATGAAAAAAAAAAAAAAGTTGCTGGTAATGTGTTAATAGATAGTGAATAGTTTAGCTTTTTTAAGTCATATTATGTTTTACACAGTTAAATTAGCCAGAGTTAGCAACCTTTTCTGTAATGGGAAAAATATAGTAAATATTTTTGGCTTTGTGGACCACGGAGTCTGTTGCAACTAATCAACTCTGCCGTTGTCATGTGAAGGGCATAGACAATATGTAAATGAGGGGGCATGAATGTGTTCCAGTGAAACTACAAAAATAGGCATCTAGCTAGTGCCATAGTTTACCTACCCCTAAATTATACTTTTGAATTTTATTTTACTTTTTTTTAATATAATTTTTTAATAGAGATGGGGGTCTTGCTATGTTGCCAGAGCTCCTCGAGAACTCCTAGCCTCAAGCAGTCCTCCTGCCTTGACCTCTCAAAGTGCTGGGATTACAGGCATGAGCAACTATGCCTGGCCTGCTTTTGAATTATAGTGTGTAGCTGCTGGTGCTAAAAATGTCAAGCATAGTAACAAACTAGATGAAATGGTTATGTTCGCAGGAAATCTTTCAGCATACTTCAAATTATACTCTGAGCTGGCTGTTAAGAAATGTGTATTTATATACACTATATATATATATTTATATACACTATATATATACACACACACACAAGCACACATACATACATGTATATTTCTTTTAGGAACTAAGAGGAAGATGACATCCAAAAGGTTTTCGGAGGTTCCTTCAGATATATTTTTTTCCTTTTAAGTTTGTTTGGCTTGGCTTGCCTTTGTAATTCTTTGTTTAGAACTCTTATAGCCAAAATAAAGAGGATTTTGAAAGGTTATTTGAAACAGTGAAACAGTAGATTATTGGGAAATATGCCAAGTTTTAAATTAAACATGAAAGAAAAAATTAGAATTATAATTCTCATAAAAAGTTGCCACACTCAAAAAAGCCCTAGAAGAAAAATTATTCTAGTCTTGAGTCAACATGGTTTTTTCCCCCAAGGAAAAATGCCAGTGCAAATAAATGAAGTTATATTTTATTTGAGATTAAACAATCTTTCATTGTCTTGTGTGTTTAACTCTTGGTGATGAAACAGTTTAAGGTAGTGAGTGTGACTCATTATTACCATGCAGATGGCATCCTAACTCACATGGTAATCCAAGATGGGGTTCTGTCACTAGAGCAAGGGTTTCTTTTCATCCAGTATGCTCAGATACCTACGTTTGTTTCACATAAGCCGTATAGATAAAGATACTTTTGTTTAAGTTAAACTTAGTCCTGATAAATGTCTTTTCTTGTTTTATTAGGTGTATGGCTGCTGCTTTAAAAGATGCAGGTGTACAACCTGAAGAGATATCCTATATCAATGCACATGCTACTTCCACCCCATTGGGAGATGCTGCTGAAAACAAAGCTATCAAACATCTCTTCAAAGACCACGCATATGCCCTTGCAGTTTCCTCAACCAAGGGAGCAACAGGACATCTGCTGGGAGCTGCAGGGGCGGTGGAGGCAGCTTTTACCACACTAGCTTGTTATTATCAAAAACTACCACCTACTCTCAACCTGGATTGTACAGAACCAGAATTTGATCTCAACTATGTTCCACTAAAGGCACAGGATTTTTCAAGTGAGAAAAGATTTATTGGACTCAGCAATTCCTTTGGTTTTGGTGGTACTAATGCAACACTTTGTATTGCTGGAATGTAGAACAAATCATTTGTAATTAAATATTGATTTTTAAATGTTATATGTGAAGATATTATATGTTTATGTATTGATACCCACATATCCTTTATGTTAGGGTTTCTCAACCTTGGCATTATTGATATTTGGGTACGATAATTCTTTGTTGGGAGAAGGGGGATTGTACTGTACGTCGTTGGGTGTTTAACACCATCCTAATCTCTTCCTCATCTATTCCAGTATCCCTCTCTTCCCCAATTGTGACAACCAAAAGTGTTTCTAGACATTGCCAAATGTTTTCTGGGGGACAAAAATACCCCTCCCTCCACCATGAGAACCATGGATCTTCCTATTACTTTAGGTCAAAGAGTTTTCTATAACATTTGACCTGCTCCTGTCCCTTTCACGGACATTTAGTGACCAACCCCTCTTTGCTAGGCAGGATTGCTGTACTGTACAACTCCAGGTGTGCCATTCCCATAGAATATATAGGAAGGACTGTAACAAAGTTTGCATCAGCAATCTTTGAGTAAAACTGTCAGCCGGTAATGATCTAGTTACTTCTTATATACCTAGCCTTCTTTTCTTCATGTTATCCATACTGTAATTCAGTATCATGAAATTTCTCTAAACTCCCAACCATCAGTTCTTTGAAAGACGAAACTGAAATTGACTTGACATTTCTTATTCTTTTTGTCTCTTATGTTGGCACCTAGTCATTAACAGACATAAAAGCCAGAGAGAGCCTTCCCACTGTGATCAAAGTCCCACAAATGGGAAGGAGAGGGGCACAGGAATGAAAGAGGATTGGGTAGGAGGGGTCTCTCAATCTGAAGTACCATTCTAATAAAGTTTTGGCCAGCCCGATGGGTGGCAAAATCCTTTTTTTTTTTTTTTTTTGAGGCAGAGTCTCGCTCTTGTCACCCAGGCTAGAGTGCAGTGGTGCGATCTCGGCTCACTGCAACCTCTACCTCCCAGGTTCAAGCAGTTCTCCTGCCTCAGCATCCTGAGTAGCTGGGACTACAGGTGCTTGCCTGCCACCATATCTGGCTAATTTTTGCATTTTTGGTAGAGATGGGGTTTCACCATGTTGGTCAGGCTGGTCTTGAACTCCTGAACTTGTGATCTGCCCACCTCAGCCTCCCAAAGTGATGGGATTACAGGCATGAGCCACCCTGCCCGGCTCAATCTGTCATTAAAGGAGTTCCACATCTCTCCGGAATGGGCCTGCATTAGGACCCATACCACGCTTGATCATAGGCTGTGAGCTGCCCAGGCACAGCAGGAGATCTGAACTGTTCGTTTCTCATGGCTATTATAGACTACCCCTTGCACCGCAGAGATCTGTTTCTCCAAACACGTTCATGAGACAGCTCCTTCATGGTTCCTGTGGGCCTCTCTGAGGAAAAAATATTTATGAGGGTAGTTAGTAGGATAAATAACAGCCTCTAAGACTGCAGTTGGTCTCAGGTCCACAAATGCTATTCCTCTTCTCTCTAATCCACTATTCATTCTAAATTCCCCTTACCCTCGGCTATCATCTTGTCAGGCCTTGGTGGCTTCCCTAGTGTTGTAACCCAAACCTTCATTCCTTAGGAATGTAAGCCCTTGGCAATCACACCATTCCCTTTTCAGACAGTGGCTGCTGCATGTATCATAGAGCGCTGAGATCAGGAGGCAAGGAAATGCCAGGAGATACCCACATAGATCACCTAGATTCCACATATGTTATCCCTGTCTGAATTGTGTGAACACAACAATACCTTCTTCATTGGATTAGGGTCAACTCTCACAGTTAGTATGTTGACTTTATGGTTCTTGGGCACAAGAACTTCAAAGTGTCCTAGTGGCACCTACATCTTGTTCAATGTAGTACTTGTTGTGTCTCCTGGCAAGAGCGTGTATCCTTTGGAGACCAGGACTTCCAACTTCAATAATTTATTTATTTAGCTTAAATAAAATTTTATTTAGTTGCAGTACATCTCTGCAATGCCTAGAATTGTAAAATAGGAAGCATGAAATTCCTTATTGTGATTGGATCACTAGAAATGACAGTAAGTGGGGCCACTCATGTTTCCCAACTCCCTTAGTTTCTGAACCTATATGTTCTTTTTATTGCAGACTTAACCCTATATAAAAGTTTTTGATGTAAGCATGTGCTGCACCCTGAGGATGGCATCACATCCAGTCAGAATTGTCACTGAGCTGGTGATTCAGGTGTGCCTTTAGAAGGCACTTGTAGCATCTTTGAAGCTGCTTCTAGATGACATGGTATGCGATACAAATTACGGAACCAAGGTCATAGGACCATTTTGTTTGCTGTACAATAGGTCCCCTTGCTCAGCTGCTATGCTGTACAATAGGTCCCCTTGCTCAGGAAAGGCCAACCCACATCTGAAATAGGTATCTAGACCCATGAAGATAAACCACAAGTACTTCATTTTGAGGTAGGTTGGACACTCAGAAGCAAAGTAGCAAGATATTGTTACGTGCTATTGCTGTATCTTTCTGGATACAGCAAGATATTGGTAAGTGGAAGTCCGTATTGTTGAGCTCACAAGTAACCTTCATTTTTCCCACTGTAGCCTCTTGATTCATATGCCTTTCATGCAAGTTATATGGTAGCCAATGACAAAGGCTGGCTACTGTCAATTGGCAAAGTCATTTTGCCTGCTTGGCTCTTTAGTCCCTCTACTGGGATGGATACTTTCTGGTAGGTATAAATGTGTGATGCAGAAATCTTTACCCTTCAAAAAGGGTCTGTATGTCCATCCACAGGCCTCTACTCAAGATATGGGGTTCTGCTCTTTCCATCCTTTTTTTCTAGACTGCTGACTAACAGCCAGGCCTTTGGACACTGCCCAGGAATTTATATATGTTCTTATTTCTTGAGCTACTTCTGCTGTATAAAGTGAGTGACCAGATGAAGCTCTTCCTATTGAGAAGATTTTTCCTTCCCAACATCTTTCAAGGCTACCCCTGACTGTGGCTGTGATGCAGCTGCCATTCATGTTCTACTTGAACTACTGTAAGGAATGGTTTAGGAGGTAGAATCAGCAGGATATGGTAACCGATCCTTCACCTTATTCCCTCCCCAATTCCTTGCTTAATCTTTTCTATTCTCCATTTCCACCTAGAATATAAATTCTACCCGAAGAGAGATTTTTGCTACCTCTTTCGCTACTATAGTTCATGTGTCTAGAACAGTACCTGGCACAAACTTGGTCTCAATGAGCATTTGATGAACAATGAATGAATCTCAGTAAATTGTTCCACCAACCACCTATAGCTCAGATCACAAGACTAGTAAGAATCATCCTTGATTTCTCCCACTTCCTTTTTTCCCTTTCCTAATCCTTCAACAAATCTAGCCAATTACATTTTCAAAATATGCCCTGAATAGTCACTGCTCTCCATTTATACCACTGTTGTCCTTTCTTCCCTTAACTGCAAGGGCCAACTTTTTGGTCTTCCTGCTTCCCCTTTCCATTGCTTTCTAAGTATTATTCATTCTTGTAATAGCTGACAAATTGATCTTTTTACAGTGTAAATCAGATTGTGTCATTTCCCTACTGAAAATCTTCTGATGGCTTCCCACTTGACTTAGGTTGAATTCAAACACCTTACCAAGGTCTGTGAGACCTCGCAGGGCTTCCCTCTTTAATCTTACCTCATACTGCTCATGCTCAAGCTGTGCTAGTGTATTAGCATGTGTATCCTCAAAAACACCAAGCTTATTTCTGCTCTTGTCTGGAATACTTTTCTATTTATGTGAAATTGGCTTCCTCTTTCTATTTGACTTTCAGTACAAATGTCTCTTCTTGAGAGAGGCCTTCCCTAGTCACCAATTCTAAAGCAACCCTTTTTCTTCTTTCCCAATCCTCCATCCCACATCCCAGTGGTGTTAATTTTTTTTAAAATATATATTTTATTGCGTTTTGGGTTTTGCGGTACATGTGAAGAACATGCAAGATTGTTGCATAGGTACATACGTGGCAATGTGGTTTGCTGCCTTCCTCCCCATCACCTATATCTGGCATTTCTCCCTATGTTATCCCTCCCCAACTCCCCACCCCTTGCTATCCCTCCCCCCCAGTGGTGTTATTGAACATCTTTGATTTTCCAGAGTGGTGCAAAATGGGAGATTTGGGCTTGATAAGTAAGCCTGGATCTAAATCACTAACACTGAGCCTAATTTTTTTCATGAAAATAGATTCATTCTGTAAAATGGAGTCAGTATATTACCTGTTTAACAATGGTTTTGAGACTCAAATCCTGTTACTTAATATACTAATCTTCATATCTTTTTCACTATTAGAAATTACCTTTTAAAAAAATATATTTATCTTTGGGGCTTTTTTCTTCCCTCTGGTAGTATATAAGCTTCATGGCAGAGAGATCTTATCAACGTTGTGAACAAAAATGCTATTCCTGTAACTCAGCAAAGTGTGTAGCACACGCATGTGTACGCATATACATGTACACGCAAGCACATATACCAACAGAAACAGAAAAATTTTTGTTCCAACAGTGACTGCAAATATCTGTGTTATAGGAAGGACAACAAAGAGGAGAAGTTCATCCATGGTTTTAGGAAAGTAAGAGAGCTGTCATTTCTGTCAAGAGTGAGTGCAAGGGATGGGCCTTACAGCCATAATTGGTGGAGGCACTAATGCTCATTCTCTGTCTAGTTACTTCAGACTCATGTTTAATCTTTGGTACCAAAGAGGAAAGGATGATGAGTATCTTGGTAATATCTTTAGAATTGCTTAGAACAAGCAACATATCTTGAATTCTAAGAGACTAAATATGTTATCTTGAACAAAAATGCCTCTAGCTTAGGAATCAGCTAATTTTTTTTTTTTCTGTAAAGGGCCAGATGGTAAATATTTTTGGCTATGTGAGTCATATGGTCTCATTTGCAACTTCTCAACTCTGCCCTTATAGTGCAGAAGCAGCCGTAGGAGAAAAGTACAAGTACAAATGGGTATGGCAGGTTTTGGCCTTCAAGGATCCAGATTTGGCCAATGGTCTGTACTTTTATGACTCTTGCTCTAACTCTGC